AAAGGTTTTCAAATGCCTTCCTTTGTGTAAGACATCAGCAGTCTCTGAATAACCAATTCAAACTATACCAAAGAAATACATTTACAGTAAGATATTTTGATTTCCCTCACTAGTAACACTTGGATCTTGGGCTAAAACTTTGACTAATACTAAAACTCTCCCTCTTTAGAAAGTGCTCCTTTGAAAAGGAAGATCCGTCTTACTGGTAAGACACTGTGTCAGCCCCTTTATATCCCCTGTGTTCCTCACGCCAGTTTGTCATAGGAAAGCAGGGAGATGAAACTCCAAACCTTGGTTCATGTGTTCTAATGACAGAAGATTTAAAGTCAGACACCAAAAGTCCCTCAGGAGAATTTTATTAGACGTGAAAGTAAAGTAAAGTAAAAAGAAAAGTGAAGCTTAAGTAAAAAATACTCTTAAGGGAGAGAATGGGCCGTCTCCAAGTAGAGAATGAAAAAGAGAAAATGTCGTCCCCAATTTTATCACTGTTTGATGTTTACCAGGAGAACTGGGGACCACCTTCTGTTCTCTTTGCCAATCAGGTGTTCAACTCCTGGGCAATACAGTATTTGACCTTAGTTGGTCTTCTCTGAAACTGTCATGGTGGCCATCCTATTTAGGGGGGCTTCATCTACAAGCCAATCCCATGTTAATGTGGGTGCTAGAAAAAATAGCTGATCAGAAGTTACCTTAGTGCACCTGCAATACTAAAGGAAACTGTCTTCCCAGACAATTGGAGTCACTTAGAGCCATAATTCCTAGCTTTATGTCAGCATCAATGGACCCTGTCAAGAGTTAGTCCCATTAATCCTTTTCACTTGACATATTTCCCAATTAGCTTCTTTTGCTTCTGTTTATTTTATACAAATTAACTACCACCCTTTGCTTTCTTGTTTATTCTGGAAGTAGTTTAAGAAGACCCTAAAGGAATTTAAAGAACACTTGTGACCTTGCCTGCATTTCACTGCTCATTGTTAGCTACTATATAACAAATGCATTGGAATAGCCATTATCATCCCCACAAACACAAGCAGAAACCAGCTCAGATATGAAAGTTTCTTTTTCAATCATCACACATTGCTTGAACATCGATATATTTCATTCTCTTTGCGTAAGACTAAGGATATCACATGTATAAGAGACAACCTCCCACAACAGGAAGGAAACTGGGAGGTGCCTTGGCCTGAGATGAAGTTCAGTCCCCTCTCCCAGGAAAGAAGCCAGAACTGAATGCATCTGTGAATCTTCAGCGTCCCACACTTGGAGAAGAAAACAGTTCTCAGTAGTGCACTTTTTTCCTGGAGCAACATGAAGACAGACTGTTGGCCTTAAGGAGACAAGTAGGTGAAAAACAAGTTGAGCAATGGGGTAGACAGAGAGAGATACAACAGAACCAGACCTGATGATTCTGAAATCCAGATGGGAAACTGCAGTTGGAGTTCCTCAAGTAGGTTTCCAGATCTGAGGGCAATAATGGTTTCTGCTTCTGCTCCCTGAGCTCCTGGTTCTGCCCTGTGAGTCACCCTTTCTTTTTCATGAAAAATACTAAATGTTCAGAGTTGACAGTTTTATCATTTGCTTCCTATCAGTAGAATTTGGGGGTGGGATGATAGGCTATAACAGACACTTTTCATTTTGTACTCATCGTGTCTCAGTTCAAGCTGGCAGGCTCTCTGTTGTACTAATGATATGTGTCTTGGAGATCAGAAGCAGGTCCTTGTTCCCTGGTGTTGAAGATTAAACATCAATAAATGCAGAGGCAAGTGTAGAAAGCCAGTTTTGGTTAAGAAAGTGATAGAGATAGACTTTTCCTAAGAGAAGGGGCTCCTCAGCTGGGTGTACATCTTGTTCTCTTATAGGCCTCAGAACCCCCTTTTATTCATTGTCTTCTCTTTCCTCTTCATATATGTTCCTGGAAGCAGGGAATTGTGGGTTAGTTGTTAGCAACCAGAGTGTCTGGAGCATGATTACAGAGGTTACAACCCATTTTTCTCTGTTTGATAAACAGCCCTCATCCTGGTTATTCATTATCTGCACTGACTGCCTGACCTTTGCCCCCTTCCTCAGTTTGCTAAGGAATGTGACATATACTGTCCACTCAGATTATGAGGGGCTACAGGCATATTGCTTTTGGCAAAGAAAGCATGTGTATGAAGAGGGTTATCACTGTGGGCTAATTGTATACAATTATTCTCTTAACCAGGTGTTTCCATTGTTCTCATCTATCTGTCC